ATTATAATGGCTATGGTAGACAGCCCTAGTTTATGTTTTTTTCTTTTGAGGTCAATACCCATCCTCCAATGAATTAGGATTTGGAGTGGTACCTTTTTTTTGTTTCAAGCCAATAACAATTGCAAATGAATTAAGTCAACCTTTAATAATACATATCAAACTTCTTGATGATTTCGACTGTAATAAGAATGAGTGGTGGATACTTCTATCCTAACATCTTTTTAAGCAATGTTCTAAAAAAATTGCATAGGCGGCGCCTAGGCTTGAAGTTCGAACAAAACGCCTCGTTATTTTGTTGTAAACTCCAAAAGTATGTATGAAATTCTTCTAAATCTAGTATGACTTGTCTAGTTAAAAATTGAAAATATGAAAACTATTCTAATTTTTGTATTTTGAAAACTTGAAAATTGTATAATTGAAGAAATTATTAAGTAAACATAGTAGTTTATAATTTTAGAAGTTTGATATGTATTATTTTAATTATTAAATAATTAAAAATGATTAAAATTTTAAAATAATATTAAAAATAAGAAAACGTTTTTTTACGCCCAAGTCTTGTCTAGGTTCCGCTTAAACTCATAAAGTTTGAAGTTTTGCCGGCACGTCTAACCACGTTTTACACTTTTTAGTAGATTTCTTTTCAGTACCTAGTCAATTACTTATGAAAATATTTAGTATGTTGAACACGAAAAATAAATATGATCGGAAAAGAAAGTCATGTTACAAATTTACACATGTCATGTCACATAGTCCTACTGAAGGGTTTTGCTATGTACACCCCGGTGTACGTCCCTTCTCACAACAGGGGGTTTAAGAGTTTTTTATTGGATGTGAACCCCCACGTGAAAGGAAACCTCGATGTACAAATAGTAAAACCCCGAACTGAAATACTATGCACACGTCTAATTTTAACATGTGCTCCACAATCATTTAAAAAGATGATTATATCAATTACTCTCATACTCTCAACTCACGACCTATTTCTTCATCCACCCTGATTCGACATGTTTAATAACCTCAAAAACTAAAAATATATCCGTTATGAATATATAATTCACGGGATAGGGATGTGATGGAAACCACGAAGGGGCTTTGCTTTATTTTCCATTTCCTTTTCTTCTACTTTTTATTAAACTAGTGTGCATCGTGCGTTGCACGATAACCGTTAGAATTCGAATCGAACAATAACTTTAAATTACACTATTTAAACTGTCAATATTGAAAATGTCAATAATAAAAAAAGTGAAGAAAATGAGCTTG